GGACTACAAAGGGCCCACGTAATGCCACACTAGACTCACAAACCAATCAATCCCCTGCAAAAAATGTGACCATGTCATATTTCCTCATGGATCCAGATGACATTACAGTTTTACAAACAAATCTAAAAATAATAAAAAAAAAAACATTAGAGCTTTTCAGGAGAATGAAAGTCTAGAGATTGTCAAGACCCTTTACAGGTGGCTGATTTTGAAGACATTGTTTCAGCAGACAGGGTATGCTTTACATGCATGATCTCTTATGCCCACACATTGTTAATACTGCTTGTTATGGCTCAGTGTTAAAAAAAAAATCTCAAACTCTGTGAAAGATTCCTTGTGACTGGTGTAGTTTTTTAATGAGTTCGTGACTCAGAGCGCTTCATTTAAGTGACAGCGTGTCCTGCAACGAGGAAAGTAGTGTTTGCACTAAAACAGTTCTTGTCAGCATTCATAACGTTTCACAACCATATACTCTATTAGTGAATATCATCAAACAGGTTTCATGAAATAGCTGATAATATTTTCATGTGATAATAGCTGCCCTGGACCGCACAGACATCCTAAAAAATCCATTAACAGTGCCAAGAGAGGCCGTTTTGTAACAGAAAATCAATTCAAAGTATCAATGTACAGTAAAAAACTAAATTCTAGCCTAAATATTAACGTTAATTACTCAAAAAAGCTTTTTAAATTTTAAGTATATGTTGTTTATTGCTTTTAATTTGAGCCTTGCAAGTGTTTGTGGGAAATGTAGTTTCAAAAGAAGCACATAGAAACGTTCTCAATATAACCACAGTAACTGAGTTAAATAATTCAATGCAGAAAATGTTGAAGGAAAAGAGGGTGGAATGCTGTTGTGAATGTTATTTTCATTTTCATCTACCACTACCAGCTATATAAATATGTTAAATATGTTTATATTAATAAATTAATATTGTTAATAATGTTCCTAAATATTATTTTACTTCAGTTATTATTTTTGGCTACCAAAATTTCCCTTTAGTTACATGATTCCATATTGATATTCAATTTTGGATATAAAGAAGCATTACAACAAATGAAATGATGCTACAGTTTCATTAACATCTAATGCACCATAAGTGCCACCTATCTATCTTGTTTGGACAGTGAAGGGCTAAATTCAACATGCCAAAACACACCGCATTATATTGTACCTAGCTTAACGCTTACTCAGGTTTTTAAATGCATTCAAGATGGCTGCATCTGTATTTTAGATGCAATTAAATTGTTTAATTACCTTGCTAAATTTGAAAACCAATATAATTTGTTCAAATTATGGAACAGGTAAGGGTTTATTCCATGCTAAAGAGAAAAGAGACCCAACGTTTAGCTGTGGAGCCTTCTTCAGGTGTGAGGGAGAGGGGAGGCTGTTTTATTTGCAGTATGGAATAAACATTTACCTGTTACTTTGCAGCTTACGCATGCTGACAGCTACTGTACCTACTTGAACTTGTTCAAATTATACTTTTCTCCAAAAAGAAGACAACAGCTTAGGGAAAATGTGTGAAACATTAGATACAGAACTGGAAAGGTATAGTGACATAAAGTCAGCTACAGTAAATGGGTTTCATCAAAATTAATGGGCCTAATTGCACTAAAAGTCCACCTTAATGCAACTACTCTGTACTTTGAAAAACTTGAGCAAAAGCAGAAATACAGATGAAAAGTCAAAGGAACGGAAGTTTCAGCCAGAAAATCTGTTAGGTTCATATAATTCCTGCATCCAAAGGAAAAGCTGTGGAGGCCAGTAACGAATTTTATCTCTCAAGTTTCAAGGGCACAATTGCCTTTTATTTGAGTTAATAGTAGATCTAGATCTACTCAAAGAAAAATGACCTGATCAGGAACAGAATAGCGGAGTAAGCATGCAGTTCTTAATGCATGTTTCAACAGCTTAACGCTTTCAATGCACAGCTTAAGTGAAGATGTGCATTGAATCTAATGTCAGTTCCATTAAAGTATCAGGAGCTTTTTTCTGCAGAAAATCTAAACTCTCAAAATCTCAACAATTTCATTATTTTGACAGTACTTCTGTTTCAAATTTCAAACTTGAAAAAGTGGCTTTTATGTAGATGTAGGTGATGTAGAATCTCTGTGGCAGTATGGGACAGGTAAAAGTAGAAAGTCATTTTGAAGCGGTGTTGCCAACTGAAGTTAGTGACAGCTCAGTTCAAGGTTAGATCACAGGTTCTCCAGATCAATAGATATTTAATGGACTGCTTAAAACAAATCTCTGGTTATACTGAGGTTAGTTAAGATTCATCTTACTATCAGCCTAAGTACAACAGAGTTTGCAGGTATGAAACTCATAGTTACAAGTTTAAATGTGATCTTGACAGAAGAAAACAAGAAATAAGAGTCTAGATTCCTTTTTTGAGCATTGGATGTTTTCCAATGGGAACTACACTGTACAGTATATTCTGATGCTCATTTCAAAAGGTACAAGGTAGTATTGAGGGGCTGAGTCCAGAAAGTTCTACAGTATGCTTAAATATTTTAATAATATCCTCGCCTCTTCTTCCTATTTGGACATTTTCAATACCAATAAATTTCAGTGTTCGAATATTACTGTTACACTCAATAGAATTTCTAGCTAATGGTGAGGTCAAAGCCATTCCTCAGACAGCACTTTTAGGTCCCTCCAATTCCCTAATTGTAGATTAGTCTTCCCCATGTATCAGATTCCCCAAAGACATAAAAAAAGCCAATTACATTTGTACTATTACATGTAAACCTTGTTTGATATTAAAGAGTTTTTCTGTACATGAACAGACAAATCTGTTTTAATCAAATTATTATACAAAAGCATTTAATGATAACCCAGTACAATAATTACGGTCTAGAATAATCCGTGTGAAACAACCAGTCCTTGAAATTGCACTACTACAGATAAAAAGCAGGATGTTAAAAAACAGTTTCGTTCTCAACAAATAACATTTAGTCATCAATGCTGTATTTTAAATCCTCCTCTTTTCACAAATGCCTCTGAAAGTCTTCCTCAAAAACTGAAACTTTTTAGACTCAGAAAGAGTTGTAACAAGATACTGATACTGCACGACCAACACAGTAGTGTTACCTTTTGGGGTTTTCTTGTTGTTAATAAAATGTTAAAATATATGGTAGGAATGAAACAGTTAAGTAAAGAATCCATTTTCATCTGGATCACTGGAGTGCAACATTTGTGTAAGTGAGCTTCAGCCTTGAACTCCATTACTTTCTCTAACCATTGACCCAAAAGCTCTTATTTTTATAGAGGTTTCAGGTCAAGGGTTCAGAACAAGGTAATGACTGAGTTTCTTTTTCAAAAACAATACTTCACTTTAATCTCATGTTATGTTGGATTTCAGAATTCTTTTTATTTGCTGTCAGAAGCAAAACCTGGCATCTAAATATTAAAAGAAATTTAAAAGAAATATATTAAAAGATGGTTTTAAGACACCATATGTGAGATTATAACTGAACGCCTCTGAACTGAACTGTGAGTTTTTAACTGAAGTCCAAATCCCCCAAAAAAGAAAAAAACAACTTCACCATCTACGTTTGGCAGATGTTATTATGCTATTCACCTATCCATCCCAGTTCACTCATACAGTCCTAAATTATCTTGGACTGTATATGATATCTATGAATAAAAGATAGTAAAACACCTCAATGCATTATTTCTAAAAAAAAGTATCATTAGACTCTTAAGTTTATTTATTCTAGTTACTATTCATTCATCAGAAGCTATGTGTGATATTTGCAAATTTTAAAAAGCCAACACCAAAACCACTATTCAAATCACACTTTCCTCTGAGGCCATGAACATAAAAGTTAAATAGTGTATGTATATTTTCTGTATTAAAAATAAATCAACATAACAGTTCTTATCACATTTACAGTAATATTCCATAATACCAGGTATATGAACAATTTCCCAGCAGAAATTGTTTCATATTTTAATGTCTGTGTAGTTCTTACTGTACAATGACAAATTGGAGTGTCTTAAAGGAGTATTAAATTATTTCTGTAGCAAAGATTAAATTACATATTTTAAAACATAAAAAGTTCAAAGTGACAGAAGAGCATGTTTTTTGTTTCTTAAGGACTGAATTTAACCGGTGGGGACAGTCAGAAAAATAATTTCCCAGGAATACCCAAGATATACTCCTTTTTTAACATATTTTTACAGTGTATCTGTCGTACTTTCCTTCCTATCTACACCCAAAAAAGCACTGTTTTGTCTGCATCACTGAAGGTTAGCAAAATAACCATTTTGTCTGGGAAGAGGCACAGTCACTTAAAAAACATGAACTTTGCTGGTGTTAACTGAACATACTTTGAAGCAAAATGAGAGCATTCCCAATGATAGATGTGACATTTATTAACTCACTTTGTTCCAAGACATTCTTTAAGAACATTCTCTTTACAAGAAATCTTCCCCATTATTGGGTCAATGCCTCAAATGCCATCACTACAAGCTGTCTCAAGTAAGACTTAAGCATTAAAACAGCACATATATTTCATTAACAGTGCAGTCATTCCTGTAAAAACATTACAGCAATTACTTTAAAAGAAAGCAAACTGGTGAAACGGAAATCACTTAAAACCTTCAGCTGAACCTAAATATTGTATTAACAAAAGAAAGCTTATAATATTGCACAGAAAACTATAAGAAACAATAAACTCCGGTATCAGAAATTGAAAAAAGACTAAATCAAATGCCCTTAACAAGTTATAAGGGGCTGAATAAGTTGTATTTTATTACCATGTTATTATTTTCACACAGTAAAGGTAAGATCCAGTCATTTGGAAATTGAAAATAGAAATACTACTTTAATACTAAATACTAAATAATACTTTTTCAAAATACTTTAAACACTTCTTGTCAGAGAAGTAACCTTAATTAATGTTACATTATGTTGTTTTTTCCCCCAAAAGTCATGCATTGTACAGCAAGACCCCCATAGCTCCCCTCTGTGTTCCCCTGTAGGTCCTACCATTCGGTGTCCGCACTCCGTACCATCAGCAAGTGGCATATGCTGTGTACGGCAGCCCTTAAGGTCCCCTTCTGCACTGGTGCACCACAGGCGCTTGCACTGTTTCTGAAAAAAGAATGCCGGTGATTGCAAGGATAAAAACAAAAACAAAGATCTTACAGTCTAACTTCAGGTAAAAGTCAAAGAAGACTGAATAGGTAGCAAACTTTGAGTAATTATTTTAGTATTTTTCTGTTGAAATACATGATCAAATTGGACAGTAAGCCTGCCAGGAATCAAACACAAACTTTAATGCCAACTTGGCAGCCTTCCCCTCTTTAATTATCCATACTTAATCCAAGCAGGTAGTTATAAATGGGCTTCAATGGTATTTAACAAACCGAGTCACAGGTATATATGTTTTATGATTTTGTACATGTTTGAAAAAGACTTGTCAGTCTGTATGTTAAATGAATCAACATTCAGGTTATTTTCCACCTTATTCAGGCTGGTAAAGGCTAGGAAAGGAAATTCATCCACATTGAGCACAGCTGATTTCATTTTTCTATCCAAGAAAAATCTATTTTTAATTGAAATTGACAGCAGAATGTATAAACCATGTAAAGTAAGTTGAATATATTCTAGAGGAAAAAATGCAGTTACTGGAAATGCCATTACTGGAAAAAAAATAAAATTCAGCCATTTATACTATAGGCTTAAAGGCTATTGTTCTACCACAAATATAGAATTGCAAGCAAACTGAAAAAGAAAAATAGGGCTTCTTCTCATTTTATAACATCTCTACCTAGAAAATTACAGGATATGAAGCAGCTACTGTCAGGAACAGTTCTTTCCGGGCCCTATGCGGACGACACGATCCGGAAGGTGAAGAAACAATAGGGAAAAATATCATGCAGGAGTCGGTCAGGAGACAGGGGGGCGTGTCCGAGGTGAGCAGGTGTCCAGGGGAAGTGAGTACGGGGCAAACAATCCAAGCATAAATCCAAAAGGGAAATCCAAAATAGGAGGCAGAGTCCAAGACCAGGGGATCCATCCAAAGTAATTTAAAAAACCAGAACCGGGTCGGGACCGGCTGGACAGGGAATCGGGAACAGGAAACTAAAACTATAACGGAGCCAGACGCAGCAGGACCCCGGGCTCTCACGAAACGGGATTCAATGAGAAGCCCCGGGCAAACGCCTGCGTCTGGCTTTAAAGGTGGAACTAAAGAGGGGCTGGAATAAGGAACAGATGTGGGGAATGGGACAGAACGAGGAAGGGCTGGAGCGCCCTTAAGAGGAGGAGTAACGATCGTGACAGCTACACCACCAATATGTTTTCTACCCCTCAAATTTTAATCAATTTGTGAAAATAATGTTATGACCATAATAGTATGGTTTAAACTGAAAATATGTTGTTTGCATTAAAATGAACAAGTATTAAAACTGACATTATAAAATGTCTATGAATATTTGTTTAATATAAGACAGAAGTTAAATTCAAGCACAATAAATATATTAGCACACTCTAACATGGATGTCTCTGTTTCTATTGTCAGTTCATTGACAACTGAACAACTATACTCAAAATCTCAAAAAGAAGTCTGCACCTGAACTAAGAAATCAGCTCCATTGAGAGCTGAACTCGGTATGAACAGACTCCTTGTACTGTCTCAGGATGTTCCGCTAGAAGATTTCCAGGAATGTTGTCAAATGTATAGCAGTATGTATCGGATTGCCTATTCCAGATAATTATTACCTCTTCTACCATCAAATGCTCCAATAAAGAACACTATATAAGCCTATTTCCCAACAATGTTTTATTATTGAGCACTACAGCAAAATACAGACAAGGCATTACAGTATATTTGCAGAACCATGCAGAACTGAAAAACTATTATTTTTGAAAATCTATGTAACTGAAAAGGCTGTAACAGCAAATAAACTACAAGATGAAAGTATGTATGTGTGTTCTAAGAAATCCCTGAGGATGAAATACAGCAGACACAGTAAAAACAGAAGGGTCTAGATTGAAAGATAAGACATACCATATAGGGACAAACTTGGGATCCTGGCCCAAACGTGAGCTCACACTGGCTGTTAGCATTGTAGAGCTGACCGGGAAGTTGAGGGGGCAGCTCATATGTTCTGCTGATAGGCTCATCAAGAAGGCACTCTCCATATCCAGTGCTGGAAGTCAACACACACAGTAAATAGACCTTACTTTATTTCATTTAAATTACTTATATTATTTAAACGAAATATGTATGTTATACTGTATGTTATGTCTGCAGCTTTTGAAAGTTAGCTTGCAAAAGTAAATGGATACTGGTTTATAAATGTGAAGAATTGCATTCTCAGGAAATTAGCTATCTTTCTCAAAACTTTGTATACTTAGTCCTGTCAGTTTCCTTATAATGCTCCAATAAATTGGCTATGCTAAAATAGGTGAATTGCAGCAAGGCAAAAACTAGGTTATATTGAAAAACATTTGTATTACAACCAACTCCTAAAATCGATTTAAATGAAAGTTCAATGAGGAATAAGAAATAAATAGTATTCCAACAAATTTATTTTCATATAGTATTTAATTTCCATGGTGATGGAAATGCTCTTTAATTCTAAAGTTGAGCCCTTTAGGTCAGACAAAAAAAATAGTCGAGTACAACTGTAAGAGTTAACTAATAGGACCGGTACTTTGAAAGTACATTACAACAAAGGTAAAGCATCATGATTTTCTGTGTGTGCAATATCAATGCTTCCCAATACTTTTCTCCCATGCAGCTCTGACAAGCTTCTCTATGGTTTTAATGGAACGGCTGGTGCATTTTTATTTTTGCATAAAAGAATCCAGACTTGGCAACAAAGTGACATGGCAGTTAAAACCTGCTGCCTCACAATTCTTGGGTTCCTGGGTTCAATTCTGAACCAGAGGTGCCTTCATGTTGTTTGGGTGTTGTTTTTGTCTCCTTCCACCTTACAAAGGCATGCTGTCCAAGTTAACAATTCAATTCAGCTTTATTTGTCATTATACTTACACAAGCGCATAGTATAATGAAAAGTGTTTCTCATTAGTCATTCAGGTGCAGTATATAAATAGAACAGAAGATAAGACAATAGACAGTAACACAATAACAATAACAGTGTAATAACATAACAGTGTAATCAAAACTGTGCAAATACGCAAACAGAGAAAGAATACAACAGGACAAAAACAGTGCAAAAGTAATTCAGGGAACAGTGCAAAAATAGTACGGTGATTAATAAATATTACAACTAATACAGTTTCAAGTACAATTTCGGCTTACATTCACTTGTATGTATGTAGTGGGTATTACAGTCATTGTGGGTACTGGAAGACATCTCTAACTGACATCTCTAATTGACTTAATTGTCTACGGACATACTGTATGCCCACCAGTGCTCATATGTGTGAAAATGTACTGTATGTGTTTCATCTTATCACTTGTATTTGAGCCCTGTAATGTACTATAGTAAAGCCCAGGATGTAGGTCCACCTTACACCCTATGCTGCTGGGTTGGGCTCCAGCACACCGTGACTGAGTGGTTACTGAAAATGGATGCATGGATAATTCAGTCTTTAATTTCCTTCCAAAGGCTCTCTTGAAAAGAAAAGGGAATAATTAACCAAGCTTTTTGTTGAGGCTTGTTAACAAATTTAGAAAGGTATGCGCAACTCTATTTTCTAAATATTACACACCCCCCAATACTGTGAGCTTGAATACAGACAGAGCTGTAATGTTCATGGAGGAGTAACAAATCAAACTAAGTTAGTAATCAGTAATCAGTTGATCCCTTAGATCAACTTTCTCTTTTCAAAGAGTAAAACTAGAAAATTATTTAACTGGATAGAACTTAATTTTTCTTAAATGTCATATCAGTAAGTTAGGTCTGCTGGATTATTTAAAGCAAATTCAGCTGTCCACAACACCCAGCCTAGAAACACACATCAAAATTCAAAATCTAACAATAGCGGGGATTTCAGAAAAAGACCACCCCAGTTTTCGCTGTATTTTATTAAGTCTTATAAAAATATTGCAACACACCAAACACCAGTGAAAACAAAACACTAAAGTTCAAATAACTATTTAAAGACTTTATGTTAACTCCCTTATGAAGAGAAAAAACATTAAACTAAACTTCACCTTATAAAATGTACAGTATAATTACCTATCATGTTGATGTAGCATTTAAAGTTTTTGGTGCCAAGACAAAAGATACCTGTTATACACCAGCTGCATCAAGTTTGCACCAAGGAGTATAACTTGTAACCTTTAATATTTGTCTAAATCATTTTAAAAAATCTCTATTTTCATTAAAGATTTGTGCTCTCTAAAACTGTTCTATTTTAGAAGGAGCAATGAAAGAACAGACAGTAAGAACTGAACTCTGATACAGCTGATACTAATCTAACACTTGCCATATATTTATTATTGTCTATAAGGATGTCATCAGCTCATCAAATGCTAACTAACCTTTATGAGTCCATTATAACAGGACATCTATGACAGCAACTCCTTCGCACTCCTGCAGTATGATACTGTAGCCTGAAGCATGGTCATAACTGAAGACTTAAAAAAGCAGTGTAGACCATCTATCCTGGCTGCCTTCCAAGGCATGCACCTGGCTGTCATCAATGTTTGCATGCAAAAATAAAGTAAACTTATTTGCTAAAAAATACTTTGAAATGTCATACAGCTTTCAACATGTGTTCTAATGCTGTAATAAGTACCATTAAATTTTGTCCTTCACCATTGACGAAAAAGATTAAAGGAGCTGACATAGGAAGATGCCATTAACCATCAACTTGACATAGTATGAGATTGTTATAATGTACAGTATCCTTTCACAGAAAATAAATAATTCTCAGTTTTCTGCTCTCAATGTATTATTTTATTTGCTGAAAGATTTGTCTAAGACTGATATTACTGATAATAATGCCATGGACATTGGAACTGTAACATAAAAGGAATATGAATTTTGTAAGTAAGAAATCCCTGAATAATTGATAGGGTGAACAAATGCTAAAATATTGATAATGTATGGACTAGAACCTAAAGCATTAAAAACAATGGCATATAGGAAAAATGGCATATTTGAACATTTCTGTATTTATTTTTTTATTCCCTTTATTGATTTATTAAATACATTTTACATATTTGTTGCTGCTGTTTCTGTTTAGGACATTCAGAATAAACCTGAATCTACAAAACTGTTTTCATTTTTTTCAAGTTATATTAATTTTGCTTGTATTCCTATATTTTTGTAGTTCCTTGTATTCTAGGTAATTTAAAATTTAGTATTAATGCAAAAGTACTGTCAGAAAAAAAGGTTATATTTAAGTTCTGACATTGAATGAATACATTGATTGTATGGAAGAATTGTATGGCTTCTTTAATTTGCTGAATGCATTGTGTTAAAGAGGTAAATTACAGGGCCTTGACAGCAGTAATTATGTAGTAAATACATATGTGCAGTTAAACTAGTGGGTGGCATACTCATGTTTTGCACATAATCTTCATTTACATGGTTTAAATGTAAAATGTGAACAGATTAGACTTTGTCAAAAAGCCAGTGAAAGGCATGATTATTGTTTTTTTATTACATTCTCAATTTCCAGCAATTATTTCTTGAAAATTGCAAGTGCAAATTATTTCGCTCATCAAACATTGCTTGCTGCAGAAAATAGGAGCAGTTTATGCATTTCTATGAACTGAATGTGCAATCTATTATTTTGCTTTTCTACTTCGTGAAGAAACTATGCTAATACCATAGTTGTACCCAAAAAATGAAGAGACTACACCTTAATTTAAAAATGTAAAAGTATACTTTGGAACTTGCGAGTTAAATATTAGACTTTTCTTAATGAAGAACAGCCAGTCAAAACACTGATGCACTTGACCAAGTAACCCCTCTTGAGAGCATAAGTGTGCAGTTTTAATCAATGCACTTCATTGTTAGACAAACACAGGCTTCAAAAGCTGTAGGCTGCTCTCTTTTATGAGTTTTTCCCACTAGGCCATAATACTGTACTGTATGTTCCTAGGGTTTGAATGTTTATAAATATTGCCATTGTTAGGCAAATTTGATTCCCAAGCCTTGTGTAAAAGGTTAGTTTACTGTTCAATTTACATTTCCTGCCCTTTACCAGAGTTGTGTATTTGAAAGTGAAAAGAAAAGCTTATTGCTTTTATTTGTTTTACATAAATATGATAAAACATGTTTCATCAAAGAACTCAAGTTAGAACAGTCAGTGGAAAATATGTGCAGGCCTACATAACCTTAAACCCCATATAGTGCATTCAGAATGAACTGATCCCAAGATGCAGTAGTCAACAAGGCGGCCTTTTGTAAAGGTTCACAATCAACAAAGCAGGAGAAAGGATCAAAGGGTCACGTCAGGGAAAATCTAATTATAAATGACATTTCCCATCTTAAATGAAAACCCTTCAGAGAAGCTGTGGTCAGTACTTGGCCTTCTAACAAGTGAAAGACTCTGGTTGCCTAAGTTACCATTTTTGAAAGGGAAAGTATGCAGCAGCTAAATGACTGTCCAGGAGCTTGACCATCATTCCACCTAGTGTAGTAACAACTGAAGAATGGAAGAAGATATCACCAATATCTCTTTACATAGGAAGTATACGTATGTATTGATTAACCTGGCAATAAGAATCTGACATGGAACTTAAAAAACATCAGAAACGTTACTGTACAAGTTTTTCAGAAGTGTAAAACAAAGGACAAAACAGTTTTAGACAAATTTGGTCATTTCAAATTTTCTTAATTTTGCGATGCAAAATCATGAACTCAAGAAATCTTATAAGTCATTGTAACTCATCTATTAAAGTCTATTACATTGAAATTGCTACAGGGCACTGAATTAACACCTCCTGCTATTTTGAATAAAGAATAACAAAAGACCAATAACCTTAGACTTCTCAACTGTATTTGGTTCAATGCAGGTTTTTGAAACAAGAAATATAAAATGTCTTTTAGTTTCCATTCTTAAAGATTATCCACTGTGTAGTTTTGTCTATTAGCATAAAATGTCAAAATGTTAAATGTATGATGAAAATACCTACTCAAGAAATTCAGTGATATACTTGCGACTGCACTTGGACCATGACCAGGGGCTTGTGTCATAGTTGAGGGTTGGAGCCATGACGTGGTACTGATGTTTCATTCCAGCCTCTTTACATTTGAAACTGTCATCATGAGGCATGTTGAATCTGCAGCAAAAACAGAAAGTTATTAAAATAACATTTGTAAAGAAATAAGATATTGCTTCAGAAACATTTCAGGTCTTCAAACAAATAGGTGTGTTCAGTTTACAAGTCATTTTATCATCTGTCTAGGATTAACAATACAACTGCATGAATCAAATAAACAATTTTGTATGTACTTCCATTCATCTCATACTGTATATATCATATAAAAATACAATGATATATTCTGCCTAAATGGAAATGTTTTATAAGAGCATTCTATTCCTTACCTTCACTATAGCCCACAGAACACAATTTAGCTCACATGTTCACATTTCAAATGCTTCTGGTCCGGAACACTCTTAGCCATTAAGATATCAACTGCTACAAGTTAAAAATCTCCTAAAGACATTGACTTTTTCATATACCTATTTTTTTCACTTTCTTAACTGCCTAACACTGTATAATTCTGTCTTGAGAATTTATATTCTCTTTTTATTAACACAAAGAATTAAATAATAAATATAATTTTAATAGTGCACACAATTTAAAAAAGTGTAGATCAAGATTAAGAATCCAAGCTATCATTACAAAATGTGTTAAGAATTGCTTAATTGTGAAGCTGAAGCTTCCAGAATGGGTCTTTAAAACTAAAAAGGAGATTAAAGAAATAATACTGGTCTTCTTTGTGTCAGACTGGTGGACCATACAGAACACATCATGCAGCAGTGAGTGCTGAACACCCACTCTCGTTTCCTCAGTGGACTTGCTTTTTTTATATTTGGGTCAGTTCTCTATTTTAGTATTAAAATGTTGATACCCTCTTAAACCGATAAATGAATCGATGAGCTATGCAAGTTACGGTCTTTAATCTTTAATGGGTTATTAACAGATCTTGTACATTTAGGACCTGTCTAAGGGTTAAATTGTAACCCCCCTGGAAAAGTAAAGAGTATTTCAGGGGATGAAGGGAACATTAGTGCAGATTGTAAAACGTGGGTACAGTATAACCTGCACAAATCATCCAGGATCTGTTACTAGGCTCAACTGCACAAATATCACTGTCTAGAGTGGGTTAAAACAGTATGGAGTAATACTGCTGTCTTTAAAGAGCTTCATAATACAAAGTAACTTTAATCTCTATGGTCCATGCGCCAAGTCTAGGCTCAGAAAACTTCTAAAAGCCCAGATTTTTTATCCAGCTGGCAGCTAATCAATTAATTTAAGATCTACATTGTATCATATTGACAAAAAACAAACGTCCTCTGTTATTTTAAAACTGTGGGTGTGTTTTCATTATCCACACTTTAAAGAAAGTAGATTTTAATTCTACTGGTACTGAATCAAAAATGTGGTCTGTAAGGAGGTTGTCCAGGACAGGACAAAGCTAAGCCAAGGTATAAATCCTGATAATTATTTAATAAATATATATTGCAGTTAGGCTCATTCACACTTGTCATTGTTACTATGGCATTCATTACTACACCATGGTTGCAAAGTCAAAGGATAAGTGCAGCAGGGGGCATCTGCAATACAGGCTGACTGGTATAACAAGTGGTCTTGGACAAGTGCTGATTTATATTAAATGTAAGGGCATTTGTCATTAGGAGGGAAAAGACTCCCAGAAACTTGAGCTCAATATTAGCTTTAGCGAGAACATTCTGGTAACCACGAAGTATGAAGTGTGTCTATCCTCCTTGCGAAGCATTAAGACAAATGAGGCTGAAACCTACTGATGCACCAGAGAAATTACTGTGGTGTTCACCACTGCAGCAATCAAACCAATTTATTTTTTCAGGTGGGTAGCTGTGTCAGTATGTGTAGGCTGCAAAGGAACAAGTAATAGGTTTATTCCATGCTGAAAAGAGAAGAAAGAAAACACAACGTTTCGGCCATGGAGCCTTCTTCAGGTGTGAGAAACACAGATGATGAGATGAAATGATGGGTTGGTCAGAAAAGAGGGCCCCAATGGAGGGATCATCCTGTAGGATGGAAAAGTTGTCGTTAATAGTCCTATGGATAGAAAGTGTGTTGGGGTGTTGGGGAAGCACCAAAGAAATGTGGTTGTTACGGCGGGAGTTCCTGCTCGAGTTGATGATCCAAGGGGTGTTTTTGGCTCGGGAAAGGGCCCTGTCAATAACACAGCTAGGGTATCCTCTCAAGCTGGAGCACTTTCTGCATCACTTCAGCAACTTCCACCCGTCCCTCAAATATACAGTTAACATATCTTCCACTACTCTCCCATTTCTAGAGATCAACTTCTCCATTAACTACCCCCAACTCTCTACTTTGATCTATTACAAACCCACTGATTCACACAACTATCTCCTGTATAGTTTATTTCACCCCAAACACACTAAAAACCCTCTGCCATTTTCACAGTTCCTTTGGCTACAACAATTCTGCAGCGACGACATCGATTTCCAGAACCAAGTCCTCAAAATGTACTCTTTTTTCATCAACAGAGGATACCCCAGCAGTGTTATTGACAGGGCCTTTGCCCGTGCCAAAAACACCCCTCGGATCATCAACCCAATCAGGAACTCCCGCCGTAACAACTGCATTCCTTTGGTGCTTCCCCACCACCCCAACACACTTCCTATCCCCAGGACTATTAATGACAACTTTTCAATCCTACAGTATGATCCCTACATTCTGACCACCCCATCATCTCATATCGCCGACTACCTAATCTGCGTAACCTTCTTGTTCACAGCTCCCTTGACCGCCCTCAGCAACCATCCACACCAGGCACTTTCCCCTGCAACAGAGCTCGCTGTATCACCTGCAAGTACATATCTAACACCACACTCATTCAAGGCCCCTCAGGACAATTCTGGATAACTCAGATGACATCTTGTACCTTCAGCAACCTTATTTACTGTATCTCTAGCAGTTGCCCAGCCATTTACATTTGGGGAAAAAGGAAGGAGACTCGGAGACCACTTCAGAGAACATGTTAGGGCTGTGAAGATGAAAGATCTCTCCAAGCGTATTGTTTCTCGTTTCACCTCTGACGGCCATGTTCACACTAATCTCTCCGTCTATGTTCTCAAAGCTGGTTTTCCTAACTCCAACATCAGAAAGACTACAGAAACTGAAATTATCCTGCAGCTAGGATCACGCCCTTTCCCTTCTCTCAAAGACAGACTAATTTTCTTCTAAATTCTCTCTATTCATTGTATGTTTCATTTCACACCTCTCTTCACCTATCCTGACTTCACACTACCTGATTGGCCACTCTGTCTGATTGGCCAGTCTGTCCCCTGCTCCCACCTCTCGCTCCTCCTCTCTCCCAGCTTTTGTTCTCCTATGCTATATTACCTTTGCTTACTGTCCTGTCTTTCTCACACCTGAGGAAGGCTCCATGGACAAAACATTGTATTTTCTTTCTTCTCTTTTCAGCATGGAATAAACCTATTATTTGTTCCTTTGCAATTTATTTTTGTTGTCCTTTTATTTGATTGCCCTTCCCAGACCCAAGAGTTTGTGTATTTTGAGGCATTCATATTTTGAGTATGTTTTAACGTCTTTACAGAGAACACCTTAAACTACTAAGAAACCTGATGCAGGTACAGTACAGTACATAGGTTCAGTTATGCCTCTGAAGTCAATTGTGTCTTGTGTTTCTAACGTATTGGTATCACTTGTGTAAATAAGAGAAATAAATAGAAAACAAGAATACATTTACTTCAGCTATCAAAAAAGTGAAGTAACAAAAGTACAAAAGTCAATTAATAACATGAAAACAGACCTGACGTTGACCAGAAGATTTTTTATTTCTGGGCAAATGGAATAAATATGGGGGAGAATAAATAATTTAAGAATGTACTGTAAATACAACATATGCATGATTAAATAACCTTAACAAACTGTACCTTGTCCTACAGTGGCTTCGCAGTGACAAATGTAATGCTAGCGTTGTTTTTCTTAATATTATAAATGCCCAGATAAGCCATAAAATTAAGAATTACATAATCATGCCCAACTATAAAATTATGTGTTTATTTCCAATATTGTAATATTTTCAGTTGTATATCTATTTCTTTATTTCCATATGTGTCAGTAGTATTGCATTTCCAATAAACCCTTTATGTATGTCTATATTTCTTGAAAGGTCTAACAAAATCTCTGTTACAATACAAAATTTTTCCATGTAAATATTTGCAAATGTCTTCCCATTGAAAAGAAAACAAAGCAATGTATTATGAAACCCTGAAAGTTTATTTCTTTCATTCCACTTCATACAGTAACTAGCAACCTACATTACGAAGTTTCCATGCACGAGCTCAAATAAATGTTACAGCTGGGTTCCAGTTTGTACTGGAATGTTGCAGCTGTCTGAGGGTGAAAAGAATAACTGTCATTCTTATGTCTTCACTGATACAGACTATATTTACTCTATAGAAAGACTATTAGTACTATTTATATAAGCATTTTAAATTATATTTACAGAAATGGTAATGACAATTCACATTATCCTCTTCTGAAACTACTATTATTATTTACAATTAATGTGTTAAAGTTATAAAGCTTGAAGTGATTTATTTTATTTAAGGCACTTTGGACTAAGAAAATGTAATCAACAGGTTCTTCACCTGTGTCAGATTTTACTCCAGAGAACTTTTACATTAGCATTGCAAATTAGAGCTTTTACAAATAATTGTTTCAGGAATATTTCACATATGTTTTGATTTGGCATGTGTTTTAAATTAGAATCCTAGAATCAACAATTTTCCCCCTTTTCACACCCTGTTGACTAATTGACTACAGTTCTCCCACACTTAGCATCAGTCGGAACTGTAGACCCATACATAGAAAAGTGGTGATCCACCATAGTGTTCACAAACAGCAGTGCTGTAAACGCCAATTACAGAGACTGTTTCCACTCAGATCACCCATTCCTACAATTACCATCATCAGCCTCAGTCCACACCATCACAATGTCAACCAAGCACGTGCATCATAACAAACAGGGAAAACCTCACTGGATACAACAGCCAGGCTACATGTATCTTGACTAGAAAAATTAATCAATGAGAACAAATTAAATGTTTTTTTTCCCCACAATTTCTTTATTTTTAAAATTCCTGCTTGGTTCTAAATGTATCATCATGCTGGACCCCTCTGTAACAAAAATGACTGCATTAATAGAATAAGTTTCAAATAGTCACATTTTTACTGGAAGAAAATTGATAACTAAAACTCAAAACAGCACCATTAACCATGACTGAAATACACTCTTGCCCACTATGATTTAGAGACTAGTATGGTGACTAGCATGTATTCCACTTTCACCTGTATTCACCACAATATGGTTCTTGCACAGGTGACTACAATAAAACTAGAGGCCTGTCAGCTTCAGCACACTGCTCTCACTACTCTTCAGAGCTGAAAGTAGTAAAAAATATTTCAGTTTACATAGTAAAAATCTAAGACAATATTGAAAACGTTTTGTGCTCAAGTCTCTGAACCTAATCCACACTACCACCTGTGAACTGAGCATTGAAGGTCACTGCCAGCAATCCAACATCATCTCTGGTACTTGTATCTGCTTTTTCAACTCCCCAATGTCATTCTTTTGGACAAACAAACTTGCATTGTTAAAGCAAACTTGAATTCTAATAACTACGGGGTTATCTCAACAGGGAAAAAAACTGAGGAAGGATCCCATATTGATTCTGGCATGTTAATGGATTTTTCACCTGCACATACTTCATATAAAAAACTATTTTGTTTATTAACTTACACAGCCACAAGAATACTTACACATGCCCCAGCTCATGTGCAATGGTGAAGGCAGCACTGAGGCCATTTTCTTCACTAATTGAACAGCTACGGAATGGGTCACACATGGTTCCAAGCTCAGCTAAGCCTGGAAGAGTATTAAAAAGCAGTTGCTAAAATGAACAAAAAAACCTCACACATATAATTTCAACAGGATAGCCGTAAGACTGTAATTTAACAATGTCTGCCAAGTATAATTTTACATTGTCAAGAACTGCAATTCAGAAAAAAAGTTTTCATTTTTCAAAGCATTGCTATGTTTCCATTCAGCTTGTCCATTAAAATCAAAATCTGTTAAGGTTATATGTGATATGTTATATGTAAATTATTTATTGTCTGTACAGTACTTGAAGTATCATCTTTAAATTAATGCAGCTCATTTTTATCTAACACTCAATTAGTAACAGTTTATGATGCATAGCACTCTTGAATAATTTCTTAAAGCTGACCACATGTTCTTTTAAGACTTTCCAAACATGCTTCACATGCTCTATAAATTCCTTAATTTTGTGATAACATAGTTGTGTCAAACAAGAGGCACACATTTAACCGATAGTTAAATAACTCACCCAAAGTATCACACTTGTCCTTCGCTCTACAGATGTCTTCCCTACAATGAAAGACATGTACATTTGCAAATTTCTAGTGCATTTTCAGGATTAAACCACAGTTCCATTATAATTTAATTTTGTGCTCACTTAGCTTGCCTTGCTGAACTACATCTTGTATTTTTCAAATGCCTTTAAAGATGTCTTTACTATCCTCCCAAATCTCCAATTAGCACAGATGATTTACATTTTCAAGAAAAAAAAATCCTATGTTTCAATAACATGTAAACCAGTTGTGACAAATGTGGCCTGCAAACCGTAATTAATTAATGTGGCTAGGGTTCTGACTTGCTTCAGCTGCTTAACTGGCTGTTAGACCAGAATGAGAATGTAGGCTCATGCCTGACTCTGACTAACTGAGCAAGCAGCGAATCAGCCTTTCAAAGCTGTCAATGAAGATGAGTTATAGTTTTAGTTTGAACATGAGTCTTAGGATTTTGAGGATGTGAGGAGTTTTAGGCTTTGTTAGGTGTTGATTTGTTGTAATTGAGCACTATTTTTGGAAAGTTGTACTCTATTCTCTAGTGGGCTTTGCTGGTTGTAAGGCATCCAGCATTCGATTAGCATCAACTGCTCCTGATCATTTTATAATCAATCCCTTGGACTATGTTAAAACAAACATAAAAATAATACCTTGTAATGAGAACTGCAGTATCATGGTGTGAAGGATGGCTGTCATCTTGAACATTCTGTGCCTGTTGCCATACACAGAAATTGTGTAGGGTAGTAGCAGCATTGAAATTGATAGATGGTCCTTCCTATAAAAAGGTAGATAGGAAGATGGCAGTTCAGGGAAAAGAACTTGTGAAGGTTTTGGAGTTTAAAGGAAGTGAATCTCTTTAACTGCTCTCGTACCTGCTCATGATGGATAAGCACTAATTTCACAACCATTATGTTGATCAGATTTCCCACACTTGGATCTCTGTAAATAGCAGCAACCTATGACAAAGATGTAGACAAAAATGCGTATTTATTTTTTGAAAGCAAAAATGTGTAGATGCTTGTTCCTTGTTTTGGCAACATTAAAAAGAAACACAGAAATGTTGCATGAAATCATTAATTTACATAAGTAAATATCCTTCATTTAAAACTGAATTCATAGCACAATTAAGAAATAATTTTAATAATAATAAATAATAATAAGTATACTATTGTTGAAAATACTTATCGCCAGAATAGCAATAGTGTAAGACAGACATTTCAGTTAAATAAAAATACACCAAGACAGGTGTAGTCTTAACTACTTAAAATTAATAAAGGAACAGGTTTAGATAGATTAGAGCCAAAGTTTATTAAATGGGATTCTAATATAATGAAATACTCTTTAACAGATTTGTTTAATGTATCATTAACAACCGGTGAGATTCCATCTATGTGGAAATGTGCTAGAGTGACCCCACTTTATAAAGGTAGTAACTATTCAGATTTCCATAATTATAGACAAGTATTAATAATCTGTATGATCTAAACATTTTTGAAAAACTAATACAGTTATAAACATCTGATTATTTTTAATGACTTCAATTTATTATCACCATTTCAGTCTGGTTTTCGACCAAACTATTTAACCACAACAGCACTGATGAAATGAGTACTTTGGCCCAGCTCACAATAGCTACTTTCCTCAGTATTTAGTGTTACCCGGTGAGCTTCACTTCCTGTTTCGTGCATGTACCTTCCTTGTTAGTTTTTTCCTGTTTTTTGGACTAAGGCTTACCTTTAAACCACGATTCCTGGATTATGTCTCTGGTTCTTCACTGGATTTCCATATACTTTCGTACTCTTCCTTGTTTTTGGACTAAGGCTTCTCTACTGACTCTGATTTCTGGAACATGAACTTGGCTCTTCCTTGAAAACTCTTTTGATAAAGTACTCTCTCCCTTCGCCCGAATCACCAAACGATTAGAGTCAATAACAATACCTTGTTCACAAACCTCCGCATAGGGTTCACCACTCCCACTACTCACAGTGATACCACCGTAACACATTTATTATGATGATGGTAAATTAACTGGAGCTATTTTTATTGATTTTGCAAAAGCTTTTGTATTGGTTAATCATAATATGCTTTTAAGAAAGTTAAAAAAAAATCCCCAGAGATGTCTGGCTTGGTTTAATGCATACTTTTGTAGTAGACAGCAGTGTGTAATTATAGATGGTATGAATCTAAATTAATCTTGAATTACAAAGAGGTGTCCCTCAAGTCTCAGTTTTAGGTCCTTTAATCTTTGCTTATTTATAAATGACTTACCTTTATTATGTAAAAAATTCTAATGTTTATTTGCATGCAGATGATATTGTGTTTTATATTTCTATCTCTAATTTGTAACATATCTTACTGTAAAAGTTTTATTTTACAAACTATTGCAGGTGGTTGTTTACAAATAATGTGATTTTAAATTGGATAAAGGCAAAGTTTGAGAACTGTAAATGATGCTTTTATTATTTATACAGCTGATGCTACAGCATTTAAAAAAGGTTGATTGCATAAAATACTTGAGTTTTAGGTATGACTTAATTAAACTTTGTGTAACACATTGATTATCTTAAAAAATAATTATTAACTTGGAATAAGTCCTAAATAATGTTACAGTGAACATTAGAAAAACATTTGTATCACAGTTATTGTTGCCTCTCTTAGACTATGGTGACATAATTTATGGGAATTAATGCATCTAAGACTTACATGCACACCCTGGAAGTGGCTTCAACAATCGATGTTGATTCATTCTTGGATGTCATCATAGAACTCACCATTGCCAATGTATGAAAAATGTAAATGGTTATTGCTTTCCAACAGGTGACAGCTGCACTGGTATCAGTTTCTTTTTAAATGTATTCAACTCAATAATCCTACTTATTTCAAAACTTTTATCAGTGCAAAATATAGGTTACTATTTAAGACACCCTGAACAGAGATATTTAAAGGTTCTCCAAGTATATTATGAGGTTGGAAGGAAGGCTTTTAGCTATAAGGTTGTAATGGTTTGGAACAACTTATCGTCTGAACTAAGATCACAGAGTTTAATAGATGTATTTAAAAACAAACTCTTAAAACACATACTCTTATTTTCAGAATGTATTTGTTCTGGATTAATTTAATAGCAGCTATATAGTTTGTATGTTTATTTACTTTTGCTTTTGTTTTCTTTTGTGATATTTTTGCTGTTTTTTGTTAATCTTTTTTTACAGGTATTGTACATGTATTCAACCCCCCCCTCGTGAAAATAAGATGATGCATCTCATGTTTATCCTATCAATAAACTTTGGGAAATAAATAATCTGTAGTCATTGTAAAGTTCCAAAAGTTCTATTAACAGCTCTTTTAATATTTCAATTTTGAATTCAACTTAAAAATCTACATAATTCACATACTAGCTCTAGAGCACAGAGAATATCACTATTAATTAAATATTTTTATATTAAAAAGATAAGATCCAAAACAGAAGAGTAAGCTTTACTTAACTTATGCAAGCTTTCAACTCTGTACAACCAGATAACCAGGTACAATCAACGAGACTATTATATGAGAAATTTACAGTACCTATAAACACTTTTATAAAATAAACACTCATTCTTACTTGCCTCTCACACATCAAACATGTTCCTATATAGTGTTTCCCCTTAGTTTCTTTGAACCAGTCCAAAATTATGAATAACACTTTATGATTAAAATTTGATCAAGAAAAATATTTTTTCATAGAACTCCAGAAACAAAACTTTTTTCTAAGCATTTTCTAAGACAGGACCTACTGTACAGAATCACTGTCTTTCCATCTGTTCAACCATTTATTTATGAGAATAGCTCTGCAACAAGTACACTTAGGGTTTGCAATTCATATAAATTTACTGCTAATTAATGCCAAACCTATCACCATCTGCGGATGAATAATGCAGTTGTTTTCACAGTTACTAAACAACATGCATTGATAATTTGTTTTTGCAGCAAAAGATGCACTGTAAATGCACAGATGCTTTATTAGAATCAATCAAATTTGATCAATCTAGAAAGATTTTACAGACCGGAAACAACCTCTGCAGTGGAAAGAATGAAAATACCTGATGTCCAAATCCTGGTTGCAGAACTTGGAAAAAAAGGAATTTGCTTTTCTATTAAAAGTAATGAAACCATTATGAGCATAATGACATATTCAAGGCTTTTACAAGATGCTTGTCCTGAAATCACAAGGTGCAACATCACCACCACAATGCATGTCTATTGCTAATATTTACTTATTGTAGTAGATATTATCCAGTATATCGTTACATTCACTGTTTCCAGCTACCTATTGAATTTTTTTTTTGTTTTGTTTAATGTATCTTTTACAGGTTTTAAACTCATTCAGAAATGCTGGAATTGCAACATCACAATTGTTACAGAAAAATGTACCTGTACAAAAGCAAACAAAAAAGCAGGACTATTATGTGCTGTTATAGGAAAATAACTACTTCTCAGTATATGCAGAAATGGTTAATTATAGAAATAAGTTAGCAAAGATTTACTAAAAGGTTACTGTATAACAATCCACAGCCCTTCAACATTTAGAAATACTGTTAAAAAATTAATAAAGCGGGATTTCCTTAGCTTGCCAGTTCATACCACGGGGTTCTTGGTGCTACAAGGAAGAAATTAAACCTTTAATTTAATAAGAAGAATAAGGTTTTAAAATCCTTCCTGCTCCATTTTATTGTGTTTGAGGGTGTAACAGCAGTTTGGCTTAAATGGCATAACACTTTAAAAGGTGAGCCCACAATACCCCCACAGCAATAAAATACAGCCACCAACTGCTTTTACAGGAAATGAAAGGAAACAGCAATTTCAGGGAAAGGCAAAGGAGTCACCCACTAGTTGTTTAGCTGTTAAACTGATTTAAAATAAATACATGTAAATACATTTTAAGAAAAACAAAATACAAAATTAGAGCTAAACACTGCTAGTCATAGTCTAGCTACAACAAATTAACACATTTAAATACAAAATATTTTTTGACACAGTTCTGTTAGTGTCCCTAGCCACTTGAACCTTCCTGACAGGAACTAATTAGCAGACTATAAACATTTGGCTTGTCATGCCTTTGAGGGAGATCTGTTACAAAGGCCAATTTGAAAGGACCTGTGTGGGAAATGAAGCTCACATAAATCATGTCACCAGCATAATGTCTACAATGGATTCTAATATGTAATAGTGTTTCAGCTTATGCAACGTTAAAAGAAAACATATTAAATTCTGACTTAAAGTTTTAGCACACCGATTAGACATTCACTGCCTGAGTAAGCCTCCCTGAAAATCAATCTGGATGTCTTTGAGTTAACAGCACATGACACCTGTTGTTAACTAAGCTTGGAAATTTGTCATTTCGACAGCTACGGTGCCTCCTAAATTATCATGCCTAATATTAATGGAGCCTATTAAGGTTTTTTTATGACTTCACCTGCTATAATTTAACTTGTGGAAGGGTAGTTATTACTGAATCACCATCTTAAAGCATTCAATCATTAAACAATAAGCATCTTTACTATTCTAGAAAAGTGCAACAATTCATAATGTTGAGAAACAGAAAGGAAATACAGCTTATCAGTTACTCAGAGCTATGGGTACCTCTATATCCAGTCATTTACTGCAAACCTAAGCTCAAGAAAAAGGCTTCCCCTTAGTAATAGCTCACAAAAACATGAAGTGGCACTTTCATAGCCTTAACTGAAAAACATGTGAGGCAAAATACACTGGTATTTATAAAAAATAAAAAATACAGAAAATTTAATTAAAAGGTACTGTAATTACAGTTTGATAGGCATGGCTTTGTTAACCAGCTCACTCTCTTCTAAAGCTGCAAAGTCTTTCATTTTCTTAATTAGGCCTTTAAAAAAACACCTCTTTTAAGTGTTAGTCATCAAATTGAAAAAAAATGCAGTCTTCATTAACTATGTACTTTAAGTTTCATTGTCAATCAAAATGATCACTACTCATTGTGTAAAGACTGTTTCGATGTGTAAATAAAAAAACATAGTACAACGGCAAACTACATCTAAAAAAATGAGGCCATAAATTTTAAAAAGCAGTAATAGAAAAAGATCTGTACTTCTTGGTTGAAGAACCTACAGTATTTTGTCATATCAATCTACTGCATCATCACTGAAAATTGTACTGGTTCAATAATAACACTCTGCATCATCTTAATTAAACAGATCCAAGTCAATTATTACACGTAAGTCATGTAGAATAATACAATAAATATAGCATATTTAGTAAGACGAGTAAATCTTACTTAAAGGTAAAGAAAGATTTTACTTACTACTGACATAATTGTTAATAGGTAATGTTCCAAATTTCGTCCATGGTGCTGAACCATCTTAGAATCGGCGGTCACCATCACTTCAACAAACCGTGGGTATGATAAAAATCTTTTCCGTCGTGAATGGGTTCCATTAGCATAGTCTGTGGAATGGAATGCTGGATGAACTGACTTCAAGGCTTCATGTACAGAAAGAAGATCTTCTCCAATATCTTGGTTTCTTTTTACGTGAATGTGGTTTTCAAAATGCTTATCTGTGAACGTGAAACAATATGTTGTCAGTCGGAAGAAAAAAGCTGTCAAGGAGATCAAACCAAGTTATAAAATTATTATTGATGATTTGCAGTAATATGGATGGGGTATACTATATTAATGCTTCTAAAAATGTATAATTTTGTGCATTGCATTGCAAGTTTCAGCAGTTTAATTCCAACTAACAAAAATACTTCTAATTTCTGATTTGCACTACTGATTTCATTCCAGTGAGCATGATTCACAGATTTTTTTATCTGAAAAGAATTTAGAAAAAAGCTTTGAAAGACAGGATAATGTGTTGAGACAGTTACAGCATAACAGCATTTTTATTCCCTCCAAATGCCAGCAACATAATGTCAGAGAGAGATGTGAGGTTTTTCTACTTGACTGCAACACAAATACACTCTTACATTCTCCCCCACTTGCACTTGGCATCAATAAACATGCCCATTGTGTAAAGAGATTGTTTTATTTTTAAAAAATAATAGTTAAGATATTTTGTTCTGAAAATTGTTCTGCTACCTTACCAGAATACATTACTTAATAAAAATAACACATGTAGTGCTTTAATAGAATGTAATTTAATAGCAATATCCACAAAAGTTATCCAAAAAGAAAAAAAAAACACTTGCCTTGTCTCCTTTAATATAAAGCTTGTAATATGCATCATTAATCATGGATCCAAAATCATAGGTCAAGGAAGAATGCACCAGTGGATTAATGCTCTACAGTCCATTTGCCCTAACAAATTGAGCACTCAATACAAAATCTTCATCCATATTTTACACATTATGTTAGGTTTTTTACAATGCGGTCATTGTTGTAAAGTCAAAACGCAATTTAAGTGCACAATGATGGTAAAAAAAACTTAGCTTTGTAAAGATACATGTGTTACCTATACGTGCCTGTATTCTGTCACATTTGCAAAAGCCAGCAGCCATATCACCAGCCAGCAGCCATATCACCCTGCAACTCACAACTGGTAGCCCACTGAAGCCCACTGAAACTAAGCAGGTGTGAGCCTGGTCAGTACCTGGATGGGAGACCTCCTGGGAAAAACTAAGGTTGCTGCTGGAAGAGGTGTTAGTGGGGACAACAGGGGGGCGCTCACCCTGTGATCCATGTGGGTCCTAATGCCCAAGTATAGTGATGGGGACACTATACTGTGAACTGGCGCCGTCCTTCGGATGAGACGTAAAACCGAGGTCCTGACTCTCTGTGGTCATTAAAAGTCCCAGGGCGTTTCTTGAAAAGAGTAGGGATGTAACCCCTATTGGCCCTTACCAATCATGGCCTCCTAATAATCCCTATCTATGAATTGGTTTCATTACTCTGCTCTCCTCCCCACTGATAGCTGATGTGTGGTGAGCATTCTGGCGCACTATGGCTGCCGTCGCATCATCCAGGTGGGGGCTGCACATTGGTGGTGGTGGAGGGGAGTCCCCATTACCTGTGAAGCGCTTTGAGTGGAGTCTCCAGAAAAGCGCTATATAAGTGTAAGCAATTATTATTATAAATATTTGTATTATTCTTAGAATAGCCTTTTGAAATTGTAACTCACTATGCCACTCAACATATGAAATATAAAATCACAAAAGCTGATTGCCTGATTGCCAGGCAAGCTCATTATAGTCATACTAAGCTGGAAGAATTCATACCTTTATCACCAAAATAATAATAATTTTGTGATATGATCTATTTGTTCCGTCATATTTTGTTTCAAGTTTATTTTCCCACTATCCAATTCTTAAAGAACACCAAAAAAAGAAAATATATCTTGTTTGTAAGAATCGTATTCCACCAATAATGTTTGTTTCAACAAATGTGTATATATTTACATTACATGCTGAAAAGTGAAGAAAGAAAACACAACATTTCAGCTGTGGAGCCTTCTTCGGAGCCGAAACGGTGTGTTTTCTTTCTTATCTTTTCAGCATGGGATAAACCTATTACATGTTCCTTTGCAGCCTACGCATGCTGACGCAGCTACCCACCTGAACTACTTCAACATATTTATATAGCAACTTGGAACCCCTCCCCCCATTTTAAGCAAACAAGAACCTTAAATCAAATCGACCTACTTCTGGATCCCTGATTATGGAACACTAGGAGAAACTTTTTGGAATATGGAGAATTGTGAAAATATTAGAGATTTGCTTTTATTTAATCAATCTTAGTTTTGTAAGAGTAAATTTAGTGTTTGTTCAGAACTCACATTTTTTAAATGTTTGTATTAAGTCCAGGTTATGTCACTACTGCTTTTTTTATGAGAACAGCGAGTGCAACAGTTCTCCCCTGCAGATAGAGAGAAGGGAGTATATTCAAAGATATTTAAAGGAGTTTGTAACACATATTAAGAACAAAATCATTCTATGAATATTTTCTGTTTTAAATGGCTAATGTCAAGGCTGTAGCTTGATTACATGCTGCAAAATATAATTTACAGCTCATTTTATCTTATCATTATGCATTTCTGAAACACCCTTCATTAGTGTTATAGATGTGTGACTGTACTGTAAGATAATCAGAAAACTGTTTGCTAAAGTCATCACTTTTAAAGTATCTTTAATACTTTGTTAAAAAACAAAAGGATATCAGGAACAAGTAAAAGGTTTATTCCATGCTGAAAAGAGAAGAAAGAACACACTACGTTTTGGCTGTGGAGCCTTCTTCGGGTCCACACCCACAGCCGAAACGTTGTGTTTTCTTTCTTCTCTTTTCAGCATGGAATAAACCTACTACTTGTTCCTTTGCAGCCTACGCATGCTGACGCAGCTACCCACCTGAACTACTTCAAAAGGATATAATCTACTTTCATAATCCAATAAATAACTATGTTTAGCACTTCCATAGAATAATGAATACAATAATTCTATTAATAAATTCAGAGAACATAAGAATCATTACAAACAAGAGGAAGCCTTTTGACCCATCTTTGGTAGTTAGAAGATAATTATTCCAACCATCTCATCTATCATTTCTTCAAATAAGCCAGAGTATCTGCTTCAACAACATGCCTGGGTTTTTCCATACTTCCAAAACAAATGCCTCATGTTCTTGTCACTTACTCTGTACTGTATGTACTTGCATACTTGCGTTTCCACTTTCATCCTCTGGTTCATGTTTCACAGTCAATTCTAAAGTGTAGGGATATCCCAATATACTTCACCACAAAAATCTAAAATATATTACAATTCATAGCATAATGCATTTAAGATTTAACATGCTAACATGCTATACTATTTAACAGAATATTTGCACTGAAATGCACTGAAGGTGATTACATATTTTAACTAATCACTGAAAAGAGAAAACAACAACTATTGTAATGTTGCATCTGATATCTCTATTATACAAAGTATAAAAATCATGGAATGGAACAGCTTAATGGAGTTTTGCCGTTTCATGCCTATGAATGGAAGCTAAAAGATTCTTCAAGATTTCTTCAAGATTATTCAAGCAATACTCGCAGGACACAACCAGAACAGATGCTGATGTGTGACACACCCGCCATCCTCAAATGGGATTCTGCAGTAGGGCAAGTATTCAAACCCAGTTTATTTACTTGTTTTGCTAAAAAGGGCAATGTTTTTGGACTGCTGGAATAAACATCCTTTTCCTGTGATTCTTACATAGGCAAATAAGTATGTCAGAGCAGTGTGTTATGATACTGAGCTAGAATTAAGTCTAGGACAACATATTGGACTTTCTGCATTTATTAATAATTCTCATGCAACCATGAAATACATATTATTTCCTCTAGAAATCTTTTAGTAAGGGAAAGGTTAGACCCATATAATGTTTAAATATGTGAGACTTGTTGACATTTCCTAAATGTTTTTTGTTTCACTCTGCCATTTTCCAGATGTGACCACTTGAGAGTCATAAAGACAAAGGAAGACTACATTTTTATTTCATGTGTGCAGCTAGTATTTATGACTCTATTAGCTTGTAAATGTTATGTATTTGAAATTTCTGACACCTTTAGTTTAGAGACAGAAACTGCAGTTTAATTTGTTTTGTAGTTCTGTATTCTTGAACGTATGCATTTGCTAATTGCGTAGTTTAAAAGTTGAGAACCAAATTTAGGTGGACTATTAGTCTTCACATGGAGCATTAAGAATTTCTTGTTTCTGTTCTGGACTCATAACCCTATGCATTTATATTGGACTCGCCACACAAGACTTGTTGTTTGACTGCTTTGCTTAATTGGTAAAGCTATAGTTGTTAGACATGTAATGTGCTTGAAGTAGGTATCTCTGACTCAAGTCACTGCATAGGGGCTTGAAATTATGAGGTAAGTGGTTATCTTTTTGCATCTGTGTTAATGTTTGTGTTTTACAGCATTGAAGACAGCCAAAGGAATGTGTGTGCTCAGTGATGAGGGTAGTTTGCTTTCTGTTCAGTGTAGTTGTGCTGAAATGACTTCTGTTTTTCATAAGAAAGGGGAAGCCTTTTCACAAATCTTTACTTGTTTTGCTTAACATAGAGAATGTAAAGTATACAGAAGTGTTGTAGTGTTTAAAAGTTGGTACAGTGTAGTTTTAACAGCCACTTAATGTGTCAACTTTTTCATTATGCTGGTGAAGGTATCTGTTGCAGTCAGTGCCATGCTTTGTTATGAGGTGTCCCGTAGTGGAAGTCAGGAATATTTTAAAATAACAGTAAAAAGAGAGAACTTTAATCCTGTTTAATTACTGTACCATTAAGATCATTTCTAAAAGCCAGTAGAATTTTGTCTTTACTATGTTAATTTCCTTTATTTTCTGTACCAGAAACTGTACCGAATGTTGCTTGTGAAAATAAATATCATTTTTTTAACATCGGAAACACTCCTATTTCAGACTGAAAAAACCCTGGCATTTGTGGAGTGAAGCACTGAACACTGAGCTATGTATAGTTTATAGCCATGGTTCTCAAACTGTGGTACGCTTACCACTGCTGGTACCCGGAGCGCCCCCAGGTGGTACACCAGATGACCCTGGCAATTTTTTGTGTG